AGTATGGCATGGCCCCCCTGCATAAGATATAATGTGTAGAAAACACAAATGAGGCAGAACAGAAATCGCTGTCGGTATAACTCAAGGAAAAAATTATCCTTGTTTAAATGATTGCAAAGATTCAAAACCACAATTCGTATTTCATTTTCTTTGTACTGGTAGCTTCCAGATAGTAGAACAATTTTTCTGTTTCATTCATGTATCTAAATACAACATTATTGAGCAAGCAAAACTTTATTTTAGAACTTAATAATAATATTACATCTATACTAGACTTAAGGGAGAGGGTGGGATTTGGTGTCCTGTCCACCAATGAAATACCCAAAATACTCCTATACTATTCCTATGTCAACTACCCATAAGCCCATAACTTATAATTTGTCCCTTCTCTCTCTACATCTCACTTCTTCATAATTGCACACATGGGTAATGATGTAACTTATTATACATCTGATATCTACATATAACTCCAGCCAAGTATGTAACAAGTAATTATTTTCCTTCTTGCACTGAATTTTCTTCCTTGATATAGAAACAAAAAACTTGAACCATAAATAACTATGTGGGGCTACTGATGCATTTTCAGAAGATGATTGTGCATTTCATTAATGGAACCTCTCACAAGTCATAAAATTAACCGACCTTTCGCAAAAGCAATTTTTTCACACAGAACCCATATTTTTGGATCACTGACAACAAATAATAGGAGATGAAAGGGAACACACACAACAAAATTAAATAGCAAAGGACTAAAAAGAAAAAGGCATACAGGCAACCCCAAAATGATGTCTTTTTTTCCCTGTCCCCTTTCCTCTTGGTAAATAAATAGAAGTGATACCCACAAAACCAATGCTAAGGAAAAGCAAAGAACTCTTTTGGAGCTCTTTACCACAAAACCACCAAAAACAATTATACCCTTAAAAGCTAAAACCCTATTTAAAATAAAAGGAAAGAAAAGCAACAAAAAAAATAAAAAAATTTCATCTTCGTCTGTGTTTTCCTTCCCTTCACCCATTCTTTCTCAACAATCAGAGTATCAACTATCAACCTCCCTAAAACCCCCCAAACACAACAGAAAAGAAAAAAATAAAACCCCCAAAAAATATGAACATAAAAGACTATAAAATCTCCACACAGAGGCACATGCAAAGAAAGAAATACAAGAACCCAAGAAAGAAACATAGAGATAGAAGCAAGTAAACCTATCTTTTGGTTCAAACTCCAAATTGTTCTCTCCACAAGAAACCTCAACACCCAAATCGTAGCTATCTGGTTCGTAATCTTTGCGAGCCCTATCAGTAGTTCCGCCCAAATCTTTCTGGCAACAGATAATTGAGACTGATCCAACAGAACCCGCGTTCCCAGAACTCATCCTCAACCTCGAACTCGCCCTAGAATCAAAGTTTGCATGTAGATTTTTTTCGGGGTTTCCTCTGCAACTCCCTTTTGGGGTTGATTTTTGTTGTTCTTGAAGTTGCCTTCTGGTGTCGGTGAGCAATGGACACTTTTCGAGCCTTCTAGAGCGAAGCCGAAGATAACATGATTCTGGGTTTAGGGGGAGAGGTGTTGGGGATTTGGTTGTTGATTGGAGCCTTTGAAGGGCTAGGGTTTTGGCTCTGGTTCGGACGCCCAGGGACGCCTGAGAGACCTCCATGACGGCAACGCCTCCTGTGATTTTATCATTTCTCATGCACTTACCCATGTCTCTGTTTCTGCGACACTCTGTTCCTGAAACAACTAATGTTAGAGTTGCATGGAGTTGGAAACGGGGTGTGTGCGAGACAGAGAGAGAAGGAGAAGGAGAAGAAGAGGAGGCCGGTGAGGGAACTCAATTTGAAAATGAGGGGTAAAGTTGGTAGGGTCAGGTGAATTAAATAGTACTTGTAATTTCTCCTTACTGGGCTTGCCTAAGGTATTGGATACGAATCAGCCACATGGGCCTGTGGTGATGGGCCTCACGCCTTAATCGATCCACCAAACTAAAAATAAAATAAAGGGTTAATTACATTAGAAGTTCCCAAAGTATGAAATTTGTCTCATTTTGTTATCTAATATTTCAATTACATCATTTTTGTCCCTGAAGTGTTGAATATGTTTCTATTTGTTCCCTCCGACAAACAATATCTAAATTGCTAATGATTTTTAATTATAAATTTGTCACGTGATGCTTAAATATAGACAAAAAATATTTTGGATAATTCTTGATTAAAATTTAGGTAGCTCTTGAGAAGAAATGTGTAATATGGGCAGTTCTTGACTAAAAGTTAGATAGCTCATAATTAAAATTGTATAAGTTTGGTAGCTTTTTGACCAAAATTTAGATAAAAATTTGGTTAAGAAATATTTAAATTATTTTTGTACTCATATTTAGGTATTACGTGACAAGTTTATTAATTAAAAATAGTTAGTAATCTAGACAATGTCTATTTGAAGGATAACATAAAAATATATTTAATACTTTAGAAACTAAAATGACATAATTAAAATATTGAAAACTAAAATGAGATAAACTCTATACTTTTGAGACTTGTACAATTAACCCTAAATAAATTGTTCCAAAAATTTAAAAAAAAATCATATTTAAAGAAGCTACAGGGGTACAAAAATACACGATTCTCTTGGTATTATTGAGAAGAACATGAGGGATCCAAATCAAAATGTGATTAAATTTATAATTACCCAATTTTTCACGAAGTTTTGTACTAGTTTATGCAATTAGACCACGCTCTTTATGTGTTAGGTGTTAAAATTTTCAACTAGCAGATTTTATTGGCGTTCTTTTGTACTTGTAAAAAATACACAAGAAAGAAAAAAAGCAATATATAAAAAATTATCCAATCATCACCACCTTTACCCCCTCCTCTACGTACCACAATATCCACCAAACTCGACACTCATCACATAACTCACGCACACATACATATAAAGAGAGATCAATTAGCGAGATGAGGAGGAGGATGTTTTTTGTGGTGGACAAGTGTTAAGTTACTAGTTTCTCTCCCAAACTCGACACCCATCACATAATTCGCACATATGTACATATAAAGAGAGATCGATTAGTATGGTGAGGAGGAGGATGGTTTTTTGTGGTGGCCAACTGTTAAATTACTTAGTTTAGGTAATTTATATTTTCTCATTCTTGTTTTTTTTTTTGATCAACAAGAACTACAAAACTCACACTTAAAAGTGCAAGTTCTATAACTTCTATATAAGCGAGCGCGCACACACACACAGAATTATCTGATGTGAGATAGCCATATCCCCTGACCCACTTTAGGCCCAAGGGCCCCATCGATCGAGCAACCCTAGAGGGAGGAAGATGAGCCCAACAGTCGAATGCTGTGAAATCGCACGCCCACACCCATAGTTTTGATTTTTTTTTTGATCAACAAGAACTACAGAGCTCACACTTAAAAATATGAGTTCCATAGCCTTTATGTAAACGCGCGCACACACCTAGAACTATCCGATATGGTCATTCTTGTTGTCTTTCAGAAAATGTTGAATAAGTTCTTGTACAAACAAAAAAAAGGAAATAAAAGTGTCAATTTATGTCAACAAAAATGTCATTTTTTGCCACTCACCCCCAAGAGCCATTGCTGCATATACCATTGTTGGATCAAGGGAACTTGTTAGATATGACCCATACGCATACCGAAATATACATTTCAGATAAGCATAATAATCGTATCGTATCGTGTTGTGACGTATTCGTGTTATTTTATTTCGATTTTGTGTCAAATACTAGTCAACTCTAACACAATTCGTTTAACTAATTGTGTCGTGTCGTGTCGACCTATTTATTTTTGTGTTGTATTCGTATTAACCCATATAACATGTGAATAAAAAATTTAATGCTTAATTTTATGTTTAAAATTTTATTATTACTTAATCGAACATTTGTTCATAATTTTCTATAAACTAAAAATTATCTTAATAAACATAAGAATAAAAATAAATAAAAATATTCTTTTTTGTCTAAGTATTAAATGGTTACTTGATAAAATATAATAAAAAATAAGTATTTTATATTTATAATACTATTTAAACACGTTAATCGTGTCAATTTTGTGTTGTTCGTATTTAACAGTAATCTAATTCATTAATTACTTGTATTAATGAATTGTGTTATATACGGGTTCATATCAATGGTCAACCTAACCTACTAATTTCGTATTGATTTTGAGTGTTGAACTAATTGATTAAAAATTTTGTATGTTTATATTAAAAGGAAAAAGAAAATGTACAGTGTCAAAAAATAATTTTTTGGTGCCATTGTGAAATTACTAATCAAGAAGCAACTTTACTATGTAACTTGAATCTATAATTTAAATTTACATCCCAAATAAAAGGAAATCATTGGATTAGTGGATTTCATTTAAAAAAATTAATGGGACCCATAATTTTTCTTTATTTGGGATGCAAATTTAAGTTATATAATATTTTCTTTAAGCGACAAATCTGGCAAATCTCAAGTAGTTTGACAGTAATTTTTCGAAAAATGATTAAACAAACACACACCGGAGTCCGTTCTTAAGCGCATCGTAATCATAAATTCTCCGTGATTTCAGGCTTTTTCCGTACAAAAGAAATAAGAATTAAGCACATAAGTCAATGCTATTTGCATCACATCCAATTATTTGTTCCCTGTGATCTCTATTATTGGACTAATTAACTATATTGTATATAAATAATAATACCCTTTTACTAAAAAAGCAAATCACTTGGCCCCACAAAACGAATCTTTTCGTCCCAAAAAAAAAAACCTTTTCCCGCCAAAACTATTGTCATCTCATTGGTCCAAATAAATAAATTATGAATCAGCCAATCATCTAATATTGTAAAACTAGGGGTGGAGTCGGAACTGAAAATAATTTACTAGTTGGAACCGTTGAATGCAAGAATGACAAAATAGATTAAAATTCCGTTGAATGCAAGAATGACAAAATAGATTAAAATTTGAGACAGTTACACAATCAGGTATTATAGTAAAATAAAATATTATTTAAAATCTCTAAGATTTTTTATAATTGATTAATTGTAAGCTTATTTCTCATTAATTTTCTACCAATGCATACAATTACAGAGTCTATAGTAAAATTATTGTTTATATAGGTACAAAATGTAGTTGAACTCATTATCGATCATATCAAGAAATTACATATTTCACATAATATAAAATGGTTTTGGGTTATAACATGTAGCTTTTGCATCCAATCATATTTATTAGGTATAGATAACAAACAAATTAAAAAATAATAAATGATAGCTAAACAATTATTTTTAAAAGATAGGAAACATTATATTAAATAGAATAGAATAGAAATATTATATTTTTTCAATATATATAAATAGATCATGACATTTACATCTAATTTATTCAATCCAAAAGTAAAATATTTGTTTTAGGGGGCTAATGAACCACTAATTTACTAGGGAGAAAAAGAGACTAGTAAATTTTAAAAATTTAGGGGAGCAAATGTAATACATTAAATAATATTATAGGGTCCTCATAAAAAATAATCCAAAAGCGAGGGGAAACAAGTGCCCACCCCAATTCCAATGCAACTCCGCCCATGTATACAACCAAATATCACCATCCTACCAAATATTTGTTAGTGGATGGATTTCTGTGGATAAATGATTTTTACTATCAATCTAATAGAACGAAAATGTGACTCTTTTTTTTTTAGGAAAAGTTAAAAAAAAATGTGACATTTACTTGGCCTAAATTGATGTTTTATACACTATGGAAGATTGTAGAAGATGTCCTAATCATCTGCTAATTTGATGTGATCTCCACTTTGCAATTTGAGAAAAGGCTGTGTAACTGTAAGCAATGAAGGGTATACATTGATTGATTTACTAGACTGGTGGATCAATCAAGTCAATGGATGGCTAAAAATTTGGAGCTGATTCTTCCCAACCTACAGCCACACATTTAACCAACAAGCGTATTGGATCCGAATACACAGAGAATTTGACATTGAACTTTAACAAAAGAGACTCTTCAAAAAAAAAAAAATTCTTCAACAAAAGAGAAATCAAGACACCAAATTTGGGTGTGGGATTAGTTTGATTGAGTTGAATTTGACCATATTTTTACGTTTTTTTTATAAACGAGTGAAATTTGAATTATATGTGGCTCGACTTGAGTATGTCTAACTCGGTCCAAATAAACTCTCATCCACAATTAATTCTAAGAAACTCCTAATTTACTTCCAAATTCCTAAAGTTTAAACTCCTCAAAATCTATTGTAAAAGAGAGTGAGATTTGTCATGAAATTATTGATAGTGTAGGATCTATTACTTAGTTCAAGGGTTTATTTAAAAAAGAAATCGAGCTAGGTTCTACTTGAGTTTAACTATAATATATAAAAACTTTTATAAAATCGAACTTGAATAAGAAATTAATTTTGACAATCAAATTGAAACTATAACCAACTACAAGTACAAAAAAAATTTAAACACACTCAAACCCAACAAATAGAGTAATAGAGTTTTTTTTAGGTCTTATTGGAATTTTCTTATTGAGACTATATGATTTGACACATTGTTATATTAATAAATTAAATTAAATTTTTAAATCCCAAAACATTATTTTCATACAAATATTCCTTGGTTTTCTTGAACTGCTACAAGGAACATAAAGAATTCATTGTCACAACATATATTACCACCTTCCACACAATTTTTTTTCCCGAAATTCTTTATCGCTTGACTCCATTTGTCAGCAGAACCTCCCCCCCGCCCTCCTCTCTCTCTCTCTCTCACACACACACACACACATAATATAAATACATGATCCACTATCAATATAAATACATTCATAATTCATTGTTATTTTTTTATTAAATTATTTTACTATTTTTTAAGGTTTTTAGGATCCTTAACTTATTTATGTATGCAACGTTCATCTAATATTTTGTTATATTTTATTTGCTATGATAACAACTTTATTGAAAGTTTTTTTTTATATATATACTAATTATTTCCTATGCTTGAAGGCATAGAGGAATAAAAAAAATTGATCAACAATAAATATATATTGTATTTATACTCAAAATTAAATTACAAAGATAGAAATAAATTTAAACATCGATTATAGTGAAACGAATCAGTGGTAATGGTGGTGGTGAAAAGTAGTAGCGATTGTGATAGATGACGACGACTGATTGTAATGGTGGGAGTGACAATGGTGATAGTGGTGGTGGGACAGTGGGGATGGTGGTGGTGGTGGTGTAGTGGTGGGGTGGCAATAGTGGTTGTGAAAGAGGTAGTGGTGGGATGTCAATGGTGTTGGTGGGGGTGGTAGCAATGGTGGTGATGGGGCTGATTGTTGTGGCAGAGGAGGTGGTGGTGGTGGTGAGACAATGGGGGTGAGGGTGGTAGTGGTAGTGGTGATAACGGGATAAGTTCAAACCCTACATCTCTTTAAAAAAATATTTATGAGAAATTATAAGATAGAAGTATTTTTAAAAAGTTATCATAAACATGGATTCAGAGGTCCATTTTTCTTATTAAATTTAAAATGTTAATATCAGTCTTTCGGATTAACTTTAAAGTAAAATTTAAAGAGATCTCAACCGCAAAACGTAAAAGACATTTTGTTTATTTTTAAAATTTGAATTGTATTGTATTTTATTATATAAATATATTAAATTTTTTTTATTACGGATCTTTTATGAAAATAAATAGGTTAATTAGTTGGTATTTTGTATTTAAACGAGAACAAAATCAAAAAAGAGAGAAGACTGTTTATTATTCTTTTTTATCGAATGTTAATTTTTTTTTTATCCTTTAATAAATATGTATGCATGGACGAACTGCTCTTTAGAGCTAAATTTTAAAATAAATGGCCCTTAAAGCCCACACATTTTTGGCTCTACCTTGAGCCGGGCATGAGTATTATTCTCCTACAAATATTCCTCTGTTTTCCCCAAAAAATAATTCTATTTTGAATATAAAAAAATGACAACAACAAGAGAGTGATGTTGTTCCACATGAAGTGCTACTAGAAACACAACGAATCCATTTATAACTACTTTACTCCATTTTTCAGCAAAACCTCCCTCTGCCTCTCTCTCTCTCTCTCTCTCTCTCTCATACACACACACACACATTTCGAATATGCTTACCTCCAAACCCCAAATCAAACTGTCCGATGAAGACGAAGAATTCTTGACGGCGATGCGATTTCCCATCGGCGCAGTTCTTCCGATGGTTCTAAAAGCTGCAATCGAGCTCGATTTATTCGAGATCATGGCCAAAACTTCTCCAGGTGGCCGCCAACTCTCCTCTTCCGAGATTGCTTCGCAACTTCCCACTCGAAATCCCGAAGCCCCAGTGATGCTCGATCGTATGCTTCGGTTTCTTGCTAGCAACTCAATCCTCACATGCACTCTCAACAGAGATGAAAGCGGAGATGCAAAAAGATCGTATGGGTTGACACCTATTTGCAAATACTTTGTCCGAGATCAGCATGGAGTTTCTCTCTCTCCCTCTGTACTCCTTCTTCAAGACAAAGTAGTCATTAACTGTTGGTTTGTCCTCTCTTTTCTCTCTCTTTTTTTGTGAACATGTGTGTAATTTAGATCCAACAATCAGATGTAATATCCGAAAACATACTGAACTAATATTTAGAGAATCAGAATTTTTGGTAATATTTAGAGAATCAGTATCTTGATAAGATACTGAACTAATATTTAGAGAATCAGAGTTTTTGGTAGCATGTTGATTAAGTTGATTTTTAGTTCATGGGGACTAATATCAAGTGTTTTGGCACGATTTGAGTGACATTCTTGCTGCAAAGTTGTTCTTTTGTACCAAGAAATATGAAAAATATTATTTAGACTTAATTAATTGCAGCTGTTGGATTAAAGGTGCACTTTGTCTAATATCGAAATCCACAATTAATCCATTGGTTACATTAAATTAGGTCATCAAATTAATTCCTACAGCATTGCTTAAGAAATATTATCTTCTTATAGAGTGAGGGTGCGTTAAGGTGAGTTGATGAGCTACTATGGCTGACTTACTTTTCATATTTATGAAGCAACTTGACGTTAAGCATTAGGGCCAACCACAAAGGAATAGGCTTCAATTAAAATATATACAGTCTTTCAGCTACCCTATGTATTCACTATCATCAATTTTCATGTAGGTACCACTTGAAAGATGCAATTATTGAGGGAGGAATCCCATTCAACAAGGCTCATGGGATGCATGCATTTGAATACCCTGAGAAAGACAGCAGATTTAATGAGGTTTTCAACAAAGCCATGTACAACCACACCACTATGTCCATGAATAAAATACTTGAAACCTACAAGGGATTTGAGGGCATACAAGAGATAGTAGATGTTGGTGGTGGGTTTGGTGCAACACTAGGCAGTATAGTCTCCAAGTACCCTAATATTAGGGGTATTAACTTTGATTTACCTCATGTGATTAAAGATGCACTTCCTTTCCCAGGTAAACACCATATTTACTTCATGCATTCTATCAATGATAAGTTCATTAGTCTTATCTGAGATTGTTGATTGGGCTGAGCTTTTGATTGGGCTGAGCTTTTCGATTTTCTTTTTTTCTTTTTTTTTTCATAGGTGCAAACTCAGCTCTAGTTGATAATCGTAGGTTCGAACTCGACTCAACTCGATTGTTAAGTTTGGATTTTACTCAAGCTCGGCTTGATTTTTGAATCCAATGCTCAAGTCCGGCTTTGTTGGACTTGGCCTTGCTTGAGCTTGATTTGAATATTAAAGGAGCTTAAAATTGGATCGTATTCTGTACATTTTTTAAACGAACAAGTTTGAATTAGCCAAAACGCGTTGCTTAATAGCCTCAATCATATATTAATCATTCCTTGAATTTTATTTTTGCAATTGTATTCCTCATGTTATCGATTGTCCCATTCTCTTGATTCGCTTAGTCACTATTTTTCTTGTTTTGAGGTTTGATTATGAACAGACTAGATGCTTTTTTGATTCTAGGTGTGGAGCATGTTGGGGGAGATATGTTCGAAAGTGTTCCAAAAGGGGAGGCTATCTTTATGAAGGTTCGCCACTACTCTTTTTGATAAGTTAAACTTGTGTTTGTTTGCAAATCTGCTTTATGATGCAAAATTAATTAGCAAAAACCACCTATAGTGAGACTTTTTTTTTTTGGGGGGGGGGAGGGGGGGAAGGCCCATGATTTCCCTCTTCAAATAGGGGTGTAGTTTGGACTGGTTGAGGCGATAACCAACTTAACTCAAGTTATAATACTCTCCATCTGAGTTCAAACCAAATCCAATTCCAATTGGAGTACATATTGCTTATGCTACAATGTTTAAAATTGTATCCCTTGTCTTATGAAGACTTTACTTTCTTGATATCAAGGATTCAAGTCCTCTGGGTGACAAAAAGAGTGATTGATTGATAGGACAGACCTTTATTACTTAGACGAACCGTATCTAAATCTTTGGTATGACTTCGAATCTTCACCGAAATGCTAGTTCTGATTTAACTGGTGCATAAGTTGAGGGACCGGTTTATGCACTAGGGGTTTGCCTTTAGTCTAACTCGCACTCATGAGTCTGAGCGACATAAGAGTGGCTTTACTCGCCGAGACAAACTAGGAATTTCCCCCCCTTACCCAAAAATATAGTCAAATTGAAATTCAAGTCCAATTTTTTGAGTTTAAAATCGGGTTGAAAGTCAGTTTAGTGAAGGATAGATTTTTTGGTTGCACTACTTGGCTAGAAACTAAGATCGAATTCTTTTGAACTTGAATTCGTAAGACATTATCGCCTTCATGGCACTGAAGTATATTTTCATCATTTCTGAATAATGCACGAACGACCGTCCTTTCCCCTTTTCACAATGTTCGTGAAGTTGCTCACGAATGGAAGTGTTGGAGTTCGATCCCCCCCTCCCAAACCCTAGATCTCAACCCCAGTGTTTTTCGAATTTAAATTGGTTCTACACCTTTGTAACTAGTTCCAACTTGAGTATTTGAAATCTTTTCTCACGTATTGAATATTTTAGGTTGAATTATGGTTAACATGCTCAATTACACCCCTATTTCGTACCTAAACCTACAACTACCAAAAAGTCCCATAAATTTTGTGACTTATTCTTCTGTAACTTGCTACATAACATATTCACAGTGGATACTTCATGACTGGAGTGATGATCACTGCTTGAAGCTATTGAAGAATTGTTGGAATGCACTTCCAGATTCCGGTAAGGTGATAGCGGTCGAATCAATACTGCCGGAGTACCCGGAGACTGATTTATTGTCTCAAACTATTATTGGCTCCGACATGGTTATGTTGACACTGAATCCCGGAGGGAAAGAGAGGACGGAGAAAGAATACGAGGCATTGGTAAAAGCAGCTGGATTTGCTGCTTTGAAACTTATATGTTGTGTACAAAGCTACTGGATCATGGAATTCTACAAGAAATGTAACTTCTAGCGAGCATGAAAGTACAATTCTACTCTTTTTAGAGTACTAGTTGGTGGCCACGTATGTTGCACGCGGACCATTTTATTAATGTATAAGATATTTGAAACTTTCATGATTTCACATCTTGGATACTTTTGGTAACATTTTCGTTTTATATTTTTTTTATAAAAAACCTGAACTAATTTTTATTTTTTCTGTGATAAAAATTAAAAATATAAAATATATTTGATAGTTATTTATATTTAAAAAATTATAAAAATAAAAATAAAAAACATGTTTAGTATTTTACCCAAAATTCACTACCAACAACCACCAAAATCCATCACCCAACCTCACTTAAAACCACCACTTCACCCCACCGCCCAACACCACCTAAACCCACCAGCCAACACCACCTAAACCCACCACCCAAACCCACTTCAGAACCCAGCACCCAACCGCCACTGCAATGAGAGAGAGAGAGAGACAGAGAGAGAGACAAGGGAGAGCAACAGAGAGAAGTGAGAGATGAGAAAGAGAGAGAGAGAAAAAACGTTCGAGAAAGAGAGAAAAAAAAAAAGAGCAATGCTGTTGTCACATAATTTGCTGACATAATTTATTTACCTAATTTACTATAACCTTGAATTGACTGTAGACGCTATCAAATATTGGAACTGGTGTTGATTCAATAATTCTTATGAAATCAAATCATTATGTCCGTAAATTAGGTCAAATTTTTAAATTTAAATGGCATTACTAAAAAAAAATGTTGGGGTCCTTGTATATGTGCCAAATAATATCTTTTGTTTGCTGCTAATGAGACTTTGGACCTCATTAAAATCTTTCCAGCGCAACCCGCGTGTTTTTATTTTGGATGTTTTAATAAATATTATTTTAGATGTTTCTATATTTTGTCATTGTTTGCAAAATGGAGCAGTAAAAAATAAAAAATAAAAAAATTCACCAAATGTATTTTTATGTAATTCCCCCAAAAATAATAATAAAAAAACACTTTATTACCAAACAAGCCCTTAATAAAATAAATAGTTCTCAACCATTTGTACGATTAAAAACCATAGAGATTAATTGGTCTTCTAGTAATTGAAAAGAGCAATAGTAAGAAGATTAGATTCCTAAATATTACATGTACACAATACCAAGACACCAATAAAAGAAAAACCAAGTTTAACAGGTAATCTAACAAATCAAATAGTCCTAGATAAAAAATCTATTAGAGATCAAATTAATATCATTTTTAGTTTCTAATTTTTTTTTCTTTCACGTCTCGTTTTTTGTGCATGGTTTATCTAATTTCAACTTTACAATGGGGGTGGAGGAGGGCTTAAATGCATCAAAAACTTTTTCATTTTGTATTTTCAGCTATGTAAAGATAAAAGATTCAATGCCATATATTCTAATCCAATAAAAACAGAACTAGAAGAATATATCTATTAGGTTTTACGTCAAATATGTGATTCAGGATTTGCATGTGCCTTAAACTTAACCTTTCAAACAAGGCGAAAACAAACAACATAGAATCTATAAAATGGAATCAGTTCTCGTCCAATCAATATTAGAAATTACATTCCTCATTAACCCTGTGGAGTTGCTTTAGGACAAAAAGGATCAAAATAGACAAGCTACTATGAAGTAAAATGAACTACATTCATAGAACACAATCACTTCATCCTCACATTGCACTGCACTATCGAAAACACACCACTGTGAATAACCTGACAAGAATACCTCAATATCCTCCAAACTCCATCCGGAGCATAAACATCATTTAACCAATATTGCAAAGCATACATTTTTTTTGCATACCTATGCAAATAGGACCTGGATTTTTATTTTTTGAAAATTTCATAAAATTAGTTACCTTCCATCATTGGTGGCTTTTTGAGTACACAATTAACATAGCTATAACTTTCTCTTAAACCGGTGTGTTCAAATCTATTACTTCTTACGAAAGTATCTTAACTAAACTCTGCATAAAGTTAAAAAATGAGATTTGTCTACATAATTACATACGAATAACAAATCAATGAAATGGAGATAAAAAACAAAGGGCAAACAATGTTCAGCTCGAATTCAACCCTCCATCAAAATTACTTGTAAAAATTGCCGATCTTTATCCCTGTTTGTACTCCTTGCGCAAAGATCCCGCCTCAACTCCCCCAGCAATGTATGATAGGACCAGCACTACTGTGCTTGGGTTTCTTGGAAAATGATGGATGTCCAATAGAATAATTTAATATCAGTATTGGAAAGTTGACAATTATAGGGTTTGATGAAAGATCATGTGCGGAGTCTTTGGTCTTTCGTTGAAGCGTTCTTATTGATATTGTTATATTCAATGAACTTTATTTTGAGGAATCTATAAAGCAATGGAGTTAACGAAGGGAAACATAAAGGAATTAAGTATTTGTATTCAATACTGTTTGTCCCAAATCAGGATAAAGAAGAAAGGTTGCGTTAGGTAGTCGACAGTCAGTGTAAAATTTTGTCGGATCTACTATGATGAGTCCAAATAATGATATATGCGCTAATGTTAGGTCGTTCCTCATAAATGACGCATTGCGCCAGCCTCAGGGCGTTTCGAAAAATCAATTAGGGGCGTTGTGCCCGCCTTGGGGAGTTTCGACATATAAGTTAGGGGCACCGCATCAATGCCCAAGTGTGATGATAAATAGGCAAGCATCTCCATGCCATGGACGGATGTGAGGTTAAGGAAGCTAGTCCATGATGATAGACTTATATTAGCAATATGGAATATAGGTACACTCACTGACAAAACAATGAAATTAATAGACACTACACGCTTACAAGAAACTAAATGTGTAGGTGAGAAGGCTAGGGAGATAGAAAATACAGGATTTGAGATTTACTAAACAGAAAACGATAAACGAAGAAATGATATAGAAATAATTGTAGATAAAGGCATAAAAGATAGCGTAGTGCAGTTACAAGGAAATGAGATATGATTATATCTATCAAACTTGTAGTCGAAGAGAAAAAAATTAATGTGATTAGCGCTTATGCACCCCAAGTAGGGTTAGAGGAACATATTAAAAATTAATGTTGGGAGCAAATGGATGAATTAGTTCAATATATGCCTATAGGAGAAAAGATAATCATAGGTAGAGATTTCAATAGACATGTAGGAAAATATAGGATGCAATATGAGACGGTTCATGATGGTTATGGATATGGTGATCGAAATGAGCCGGACAGAGTATTTTAGAGTTTGCAATGACATATGACCTTGTAGTAGCAAACACCTTATTTAGAAAACGAGAAGAACAAATAATAATATTTAAGAGTGGATCAAACAAAAGCCAAGTAGACTACATCTTAAGTAGGAGAACAGACCGATTAACATGTAAGGATTGTAAGGTTATCCCGGGAGAGAGCTTAACATCTCAACATAGGCAAACAATCCTAAATTTATATGTTAAAGGGCAACATAGAGTAAAGAGAAGCATTAGAAAAAGAACAACAAGATGGTGGAATTTAAAAGATGAGAAACTAGTACTATTTAGGAGTAAAATGCCTAAGGAGGCCTTATGGAACCTAGAGGAAAAGACTAACGTTATGTGGAATAGGATGACGGAAGACATTAGAAAAATTTCAAAAGAGGTTCTTGGGAAGTCAAAAGGTAGAGGACTTGTGGAAAAAAAAAACTTGGTGGTAGAATGACAACATACAAGAGGTAGTTAAAGTAAAGAAAAAATCTTTTAAGAGATAGCAAAATGGTAGAAATAGAGAGAACTTTCAAAGATATAAATTAGCTAACAAAGAGGTTAAAAAGATAGTAAGAGACGCTAAGTTAAAAACCTACAACGAGTTGTACAAAAACTAAATAATAAAGAGGGAGAAAAAGACATCTGCAAACTGACTAAAATTAGAGAAAGAAAAACAAAAGACTTTAATCAAGTTAAGTGCATCAAGGGTTAGGACTCAAATGTTTTAGTTAAAGATGAGAAAATAAATGATCGATAGAAAAACTATTTTGAGAAACTATTAAATGAAAATCACTTAGGAAATTTAGAAGAGATAGAAAATGGTAGGATTCATCAAAAGTTCTTTTGTAGAATAAAGAATTCGGAGGTAGAGTCTGAATTGAAGAAAATAAAATTAGGCAAGACTTTCAGGACCGGATGAGATTGCAATTAAGGTTTGGAAGTCCTTAGGGAATGAGTGGATGTCTTGGCTAACAAAATTATTTAATAGAATTATTTCTACTATAGGAAAATGTCCGATGAATAGAGAAAAAGTATTTTAGTACCTATCTATAAAAATAAAGGAGATATTCAAAATTGTAATAATTATAGAGGGATAAAATTGACATACAATGAAATTAAGGGAGATGGTCATTAAATGTCGCCTAAGAGTTGAGAATACAATGTCGAAAAATCAGTTTGGGTTTATGTCAAGTAGATTAACTATAGATGTTATATATTTAATGAGGACACTCATAAAAAAGCATAGAGAGAAAAAAAAAATCTCCATATGGTATTTATAGATCTAGAAAAAATGTATGATAAAGTACCTAAAAAATATAATATGGAGGGTATTTGAGAGAAAATGAGTGACGAATAGATATATTGAGATGATAAAGGATATGTATAACGGGACTATAACTATAATTAGGTCTTTCGTGAGAGAAAGTAAAGAATTTTCAATCACGGTGGGATTACACAAAGGATCGGCCTTAAGTGTATACCTATTCGCTTTAATTATGGATGAACTCATTAGACACATTCAAGATGATGTCCCATGGTGTATGCTATTTGCAGATGATATTGTATTAGTATATAAAACTCAAAGGGGGATTAACAATAAGTTAAAAATTGGAGAGAGACACTCGAGTCAACAGGGTTTAAAATAAGTAGGAATAAGACTGAATACATGCAATGTAATTTTAGTAATAGAAGAAGTAGACATAGTGACAAAGTTAAGATTGAAAATCAAGATAAGTAAATAATTTAGATATCTATGATCAATTTTTAAAAATGATAGAGATTGAAGATGATGTAACTCATAAAATCAACACCGATTGGCTTAAGTGGAGGAAAACCGTTGACATATTATGTATAGAATGATACCAATAAAATTGAAAAGTATGTTTTA